CTCTTCACCGCTGCATTGGAAGACGTTTTCAAGCTTCTGGACTGGAAAGGATACGGTATTAACATCAATGGCGAGTACATCACTCACCTTCGATTTGCCCACGATATAGTCCTTATGGCAGAATCGCTGAAGGATCTAAGCACCATGCTCAATGACCTCAATAGTGTATCCCAACGGATAGGTCTTAAGATGAACATGGACAAAACAAAGATCATGTTCAATGTCCATGTCACACCTATGCCGGTAGTTGTTGGGAGCACTAAGCTCGAAGTTGTTGACGAGTATGTTTACCTGGGACAAATAGTCCGACTAGGTAAGTGCAACTTCGACCGAGAGGTCAATCGACGGATTCAACTCGGCTGGGCAGCGTTCGGGAAACTACGACACATCTTCTCGTCAAACATTCCTCAAAACCTTAAAACGAAATTATACAAGGAGTGCGTGTTACCAGTGATGACTTATGAATCTGAGACGTGGTTCTTCACTGCTGGCCGTATGAGGAAGCTCAAGGTCGCTCAGCGAGCTATGGAGAGGGCTATGCTCGGAGTTTCTCTGCGTGATAAACTTAGAAATGAGGATATCCGCACTAGAACCAGAGTGCCCGACATAGCCCAACCGATTAGTAAGCTGAAGTGGCAGTGGGCCGGCCATACAGCTCGAAGAACCTACAACCGATGGGGAAGAAAGGTTCTTGAGTGGCAGCCTCGTACCGGTAGGTGAAGTGTAGGGCGACCCCCCACGAGATGGAGTGACGACCTGGTAAGACGTGCAGGATGTCGATGGATGCAGGTGGCTCAGGACCGTGCTTTGTGGCATTCCTTGGGGGAGGCCTATGTACAGCAGTAGACTTGTGAAAGACTGTAATGACGATGTATGTAATGTACAAACAAGTTAATAATCATTCTTTTTCATGTAAAAAAGCGCAATAAATGAAAAATTATTACTACGAGTATATTAATACGTTGTAAAAATAATTTCTAATAAATAATACTTCCTAAAAAAATATTTCTTGACAAAACAATATTATAATGTTTTCTCCTCTATGATAGTAGTTGTGTAACGCACCTTAAAAAAATAGAACGTGTGCAAAATCAAGCTATGAGAGTTATTGGTGGATTTTTAAGAAACACGCCAATACATGTGATGGAGAATGAACTTTGTATTGAGCCGCTACATATACGAATGTATTATCTGGCGGGAAAATTCTGGCTCAAAACTAAATCACTTTTAGATAATGAATTAATTGTAATATTACATAAGTTAGATGAATATTTTGTGACTCATCCATTGCGTAAGAAAAAGAAACCTCTGTTGGCAGTCGTACGTAATTCTCTTAAAGACTGTGATATTCATATCTCAAAGCAACTTGAAATGTTCTCCTTGGATACATGGGTTAGCAATATGGATCTTAGCGGCATTGTATTTCCTCTTATTGAAACAATTGATAAAGCTAAACACGGTTATTTAGCTTTATCAATTGTTTCTGAGACAAATATGTTTAAAGTTTATTGATGATAAATATTTGCAATCTTATAAAATTTATACCGATGGATCTAGCGATAATGATATTAACACAGGAGCTGCATTTTTTGACCCTCAGTTAAACATATCAATGAAATTCAAAATTAATTCTAAAGTTTCATTAATGTGTGCTGAACTAATAGCTATTTCTGAAGTTGTATAGTACATTGCATCACTCAATCACAAATATCAATATGTTATTTTGACAGACTCTAAGAGTGATCCCGTGGAGGGCCGTGTAGTGGCGGTCAAGAATATCCACTACCCCATATCCTCCCGTGGGTGTCGTAAAAGGCGACAAAGGGAAACAGGCAGGAGATGGGCAGCAGCATCTTCTTGATAACAACAAACTAACAATAAAAAAACTGCGGTTGCCAACCCGCTCGCCAAGCGTGGCAACTATGGCAAATACCCCCCTATGAATGACAGTAACAAAGAAACGGCCCCCAGTCCCCGGCGGCCCCGCTATTCCTGGCTACGGTGGCGACCATGGTAACGGCGGGGCAGGGGGTGCTAAGAATCTCCGGTGGAGGTTCGGTTGCCACCTTAGACGACTTGACCTGGCAACGTACAACGCACGCACCCTGAGGACTGACGAGAAGATTGTGGAGCTGGAAGAAGAGATAGACAAGTTGCGCTGGCATATTATAGGATTATCCGAAGTCCGAAGAGAGGGGGAGGACACGGTAATCCTCGAATCCGGCAATTTGCTCTATCACCGGGAGGGCGACCATCTGTCTCAAGGAGGTGTCGGATTTATCGTCCACAAGTCTCTCGTTAACAACGTTGTAAAGATCGGGAGTGTGTCGACGAGGGTTGCGTACCTTATACTCAGAATCACCAAACGGTATTCGCTGAAGGTCATACAGGTTTACGCACCAACCTCGGCACACCCCGATGAGGAGGTGGAGGAAATGTATGAGGATATCTCTAGAGCCATGCATTCCTCCAAAACCCAATATACGGTGTTAATGGGAGACTTCAACGCAAAACTAGGCACAAGAGAGTACGGTGAGCTGAAAGTAGAGAAATTTGGAATAGGGCAACGGAACCCAAGGGGCCAGTAGCATTCATGGAGAAAGAGGGACTCTTTATGATGAACTCTTTCTTCCAGAAGCGGCCCCACAGGAAGTGGACCTGGTCGAGCCCTGACGGTTCGACAAAAAATGAGATTGACTTCATTATGACGACCAGACGACAACTGTTCAGTGATGTCTCCGTGATCGCGAGGGTGAAAACTGGTAGCGATCACCGAATGGTTAGAGGCACACTGAACCTAAACGTTAAGTTGGAGAGCTCTCGTCTAATGAAGTCAACGCTCCGTCCCCCTCGTGCTCTAATCCAAAGTCCCGAAACCTTTCAGCTCGAGTTACAAAACCGTTTTCAGTGCCTAGAAGACTGCAATGAACTGGACGATTTGAATGACAAGCTCGTGGAAACTGTCCATGCGGTCGGAGCTAAGTTCTGCAAGACCCGCCGCAGAAGAACACAAAAACTCTCCGATCACACTCTTTATCTCATGGCTCTTAGACGGGAGATGAAGCTACATTCTTCAACAGACTTGACAGCATATAGGCATCAGAACAGACAGATCTCCAAATGCATGCGGCGGGACTTACGCAACTTCAATACAGCTCGTATTGAAGAAGCGATCGAGCGGAACCAAGGCTCCAAAGTCTTTGCCAGAGATCTGTCTGCCAGAAAGAGCCAACTGTCAAAGCTGAAGACAGAATGTGGCAGCATCGTTTCCGGGACGCCTGAGATTTTGAGTGAGATTGAGAGGTTCTATGGGCAGTTGAACACGTCATCGTTGGAGCCACACGCAAGTGTGAGTAACCATCCAAGAGCGAGTCTCATCCGACACTATTCCGAAGATATCCCGGACGTCAGTCTGAGCGAGGTTAGAATGGCTCTCCAGCACCTTAAAAACGGTAAGGCCCCAGGCGAGGATGGAATTACAGCGGAGCTTCTGAAAGCGGGTGGAAAACCGGTACTTGAAGTCCTTCAGAAGCTCTTTAATTCCGTCCTCCATGGTGGCATTACACCGGAGGCGTGGAGCAGAAGTGCGGTGGTCTTGTTCTTCAAGAAAGGTGACAACGCTCTCTTGAAGAACTACAGACCGATTTCCCTACTGAACCGCGTCTACGTGCTGTTTTCGAGAATCATTACGAATCGTCTCGCGCGCAGACTTGACGACTTCCAGCCTCCCGAACAAGCCGGTCTCCGAAAGGGCTTTAGCACCATAGACCACATACATACCCTTCGGCAAATTGTACAGAAGTCCGAAGAGTACAATTTGCCACTATGTCTGGCGTATGTAGACTATGAGAAAGCCTTTGATTCCGTCGAAATTTGGGCGGTGCTACAGTCCCTTCAGCGGTGCCAAGTTGACTGTCGGTATATCGAAGTGTTGAACTGCTTGTACAGTAGGGCTACGATGGCTATCCGAGTACAGAACCAGAGTACGAAACCTATCCAATTGCAGAGAGGTGTAAGACAGGGTGACGTCATACCCCCGAAACTCTTCACCGCTGCATTGGAAGACGTTTTCAAGCTTCTGGACTGGAAAGGATACGGTATCAACATCAATGGCAAGTACATCACTCACCTTCGATTTGCCGACGATATAGTCCTTATGGCAGAATTGCTGGAGGACCTAAGCACTATGCTCAATGACCTCAATAGTGTTTCCCAACGGATAGGTCTTAAGATGAACATGGACAAAACAAAGATCATGTTTAATGTCCATGTCACACCTATGCCGGTAGTTGTTGGGAACACTAAGCTCGAAGTTGTTGACGAGTATGTTTACCTGGGACAAATAGTCCGACTAGGTAAGTCCAACTTCGACCGAGAGGTCAATCGACGGATTCAACTCTGCTGGGCAGCGTACGGGAAACTAAGACACATCTTCTCGTTAGACATACCTCAAAACCTTAAAACGAAATTGTACAACCAGTGCGTGTTGCCAGTGATGACTTACGGAACTGAGACGTGGTCCTTCACTGCTGGCCGGATGAGAAAGCTCAAGGTCGCTCAGCGAGCTATGGAGAGGGCTATGCTCGGAGTTTCTCTGCGTGATAAACTTAGGAATGAGGATATCCGCAGTAGAACCAGATTAACCGATATAGCCCAACGGATTAGTAAGCTGAAGTGGCAGTGGGCCGGCCATATAGCTCGAAGAACCGACAACCGATGGGGAAGAAAGGTTCTCGAGTGGCGGCCTCGTACCGGTAGGCGAAGTGTAGGGCGTCCCCCCACGAGATGGAGTGACGACCTGGTAAGACATGCAGGAAGTCGATGGATGCAGGTGGCTCAGGACCGTGCTTTGTGGCATTCTTTGGGGGAGGCCTATGTTCAGCAGTGGACTTGTGAAGGGCTGTAATGATGATGATGATGATAAGAGTGATCTGCAACACTTGGGTCGACTTCGAATGTGTACTTCGAATTTTCGAGGATCACCGATAGCCTATAGTATTTTGAATTCTATTGATAGTTTAGCTAAAAAAAATGTAACTGTTGTGTTACAATGGATCCCTGTTCATATTGGCCTAGTAGGTAATGAAGTGGTGAATAGATTAGCGAAAGAAGCTTCCTCTGACGGTATTTTACGGCGTTGTTTACCTTTTATTGCAGACTTTCTATACAAAGTAAAAGAAAGATGTGTAAGTTTGTGGAAGGAATACTTTAATGAGAGATCTCTAACAAAAGCAATATGGTATAAAACTCTTCAACCAAATCTCTCCCGTTCTTCATGGGTGGATAAGGCTAATATGGGCAGGACCGATATTATCACAGCTCTAAGTCTACGATCGGGACACATACCAATGAACAGCTTCGCATTTTTGATGGGAAAGGTCGAATCCCCTAACTGTAAAGAATGTGGCCAAATAGAGAATGTTGTGCACATTTTTGTGGAGTGTGTTCGTATCGAGGCCGAAAGAGTAAATTTTTGCAGTAAATATAATGTAAATAGATTAAATATCGGATTTTGTAACAATATTCTGGCTTCACTATTGTCTGAGGAAGCAAGAGTGTTGTACAAAATGGTCCAAGTTGGACTTAAAAGAAGATAAAAAAAAATGTAAATACAATGAGGGTGGCATTATAATAGTTTTATAAAACCCTTTTTAAAAAAATTAAAAAAATGTTTTCAAGTTTGTAAAGCTAAGAAGTTTTGATTTCTGAAGTGCAGTCCTACGACAGACAGTTTTTTTTTAATTAAAGGTGGCGGAGGCGCTCAATTGGGTGAAGACAGTTGTGACACTAGCGAATTGAAAATATGCGTTGAAGCGATTCCACGCACTCCTGTCGGACTGCCAAGAAATAAAGCCGAACTTGACGCTCACTGCAGGTAAGTCAATGCTTTCAATTTTGACGGTAATAAATATGCTGCCTTCGAAAACTTTCTAAAAATGAATATGTTTACGGTAAAGGAAAAGTGTGACACACAGGCACGCAGTCCACCCGATGGTAGCTGGATGCGTTTTAATTCCTGACAACCAAGATGAACGGTCATTAAGAGTAACCGCCATTGGGTCTATAGTAGTAAACAGTATGTTTGTCGGAATTGCATCCATGATGGTTCCTTCACGAAAAAAGAGATTCGACTTACCTGCTTGTTATCCTGACTGTAAATTTGACTGCCTCATTTATTGATTGAGTGCCTCACCCCCCCCCCCCCTCCTTCCGAATGGATTCCAGCCTTGTTATGGCCTGGAACCTAGGTGGCTGGACCGAGGTTAATGGCCGAACCGAGGTGGCCACTCCGAGTGGGATTACCGAGCCCACTTCCGATGTGTGTTGGTTCACTGCGGCAAGAGCGATGTCTTCTCCCCCTACCGCTGCAGCCGAGTTGGAGTCGCGGAGGAAGAGGAGTGTTACCGGCTATTGGTAGGGCCATTCATTCGAAGGTGGAACATGGGCTTTCAGTCCGTGCGAGTCCGACATAATCCGTCCTTGTTCCTGCGAGGTTTTTTTTGCCCATGTGAAGAAAAGAAGGGGTCGTAAGCGCAACTACTCGTAGAGCTCCCGGGTTGAGCCAAAAAAAATCTGCGGAGTCGTGAAGTTGGTGTGTCCCCCGTAGCGTACCTCGGAAAGCTCTTAAAAATGTTGTTGCTGCGCCTGATCCCACTCCGGTCGTGTCAAATTGCTATGCATCTGTGTTTGCGAACACACTCGTGCACTATAATACTATAGATATAGAATAGAATAGAGTCTGGTCGCCGTGACCGAAATTCGGTCCGGAGGACATTATTATCCTGCCGCAACACTTTTACGGAAATGCATAAAAAAACATTTATCTAATATTATTATTATTGGTCTTGTTAAAAAGACAAATCCTCACGAAGCTTGAGGTTCTTATATAGAGCATAGCCATGTTTCTTGTTAGACTCCTATTGTTGCATGATTAGAATCATTTTTATTCATTATAGATTACAAGAATACATACTTATTGAAAGTCATTTCTTACTTTCACAACTGGTTCGAAAAAAAAACCTGTGTCCTGGGAAAAAAGCAATAAACTCAGCGGCCTTTTTTTAATAAAATTAATTTACAATATATTATTTTATACAATTAGTGTGAACACCTTAGAAACTTAATTCCCAGGGATTATTATCAATCATGTACTCTTTAGTAATATAATAACCATAACTAAACAAGTTTTGCTTCATAAAATTTTATTGCTTGCATGATTTTTGGGACTTTGTTTTAAAAGCGTATACATTGCTCCATGAAGGAATTACTGACTCTTTGGAGTCAAGTGACTGGTATAACTAACTTGTGCTTGTTCCTTGTATTTACAGAATGTACATACATCACTATTTTTCTAAGAATACATAGGTGTTCTAATTATTTATTTATTTTAACAAGGATATGCGTATTACATATTTTTCATTGTAAGTCAATGGTAATGTCCGCATACAAATATATGCAGCATTACCATAAGAAAGAACCCAACATAAGTTTATGAAAATTAAATTGCTGTAAAGGATGTACGACATTACGAGACGTATCTATCTATACACATAAGTATTTCAATTAAGTACCTTTACCCTGGCAGCTCTGAAGTAGGTCTGTGACGAAGCGAAAAACCTCCTAAATATATTGGCTACTGAAAGTTCGGTCTAATGTTCCCTCATATCTGAGTGAGTTTAGAGTCAACCTATAACCACAGATTATATTGTCATTTATGTCTACAGGTAGTACTGTATAATATGACCTAAAAAGGTGCTAAATATGCGATTCTATATCTCTGGGTCTGTGTTCTGAATCAAAATAGATAATGCTTTATTTTTTATTTATGTACAATGTTTTTAGAGCTTATCAAACGGGTATGACGTGTATGGACGCATGGATGAAACGCTGCCTGCCCACCGATGGTCAAAAATTCATACAACAGCAGATAGGCGGTGCGCGTGCTCTTATGCGCTTTCTTTGCAGTAATGAAACTGCTTTAAGGAAGGGTAAGAAATTTATTTATAATTAAGCTTTGAGTTTTTGTCATTGAGTTATAACAAATATACGATTATATCTAACAAAATATACATAACTATTTTACTGTTTTTGCAGTACCATATTAGTACTTTCCGGTCTGCGCATATTTTCCCCAATTTTTTCTACTGATACGTCTCCTTCCAGAAATGCTATGAAATTGCGACCACTTCTTTTTTCATCTAAGTTATACTAAGCGGATCGTCTGGTAGAAACGTCATTTTAATTCTTAAAAAAAATATCGCACAAAAATATTGCTGACGCATATTTGTTTTTCGATGAAACACGATATTTTAATTCAGCTTGGATATTTTTACTGGTATATGATCTTGAACTTAAATTTGAACTTGGATATTTTTCCTTGTAATTGATCGTATTTTTAAATTAAATTTAGAACTGGCCCAGTGTCAACAAAAAACTTTTTTCGCAAAATTTTCTGCGTCGTATTAATTTGCACTTTTAATTAGAATAAGTTTGTTTTCACTACTAACTTATTAACTTTATTTACTGTTGTTTTTAATACATTAGGAAATACTTTTGTTTATGTTCCTTTATAAAACAGTATGTAAAGTTAAGCTTTGTGGTTTCCAAAATTTATGTGCAGTAGACCCAATTTTACTTGCTTATTCTCCAGCATGACTTATCAGGTCGTCACTCCTTCTAGTGCGTGGCTGCTCTACACTTCGCTTACGCAGCCACTCGAGCTACTCGAAAAATTATAATAACGCCATTTTAATTTGCATTTACTTTACGGCTGATGTATAGATAACAACAAAGACGTGAAGACTGTCCAGGACATTATTATTAGAAATTTTTATTCTTAAAATATTTGATATAATCGATAGGTAGCTTAAAATATGTACATACTTACATATAAGTAGCGGCACGAAAGTCTAGCGGTGACCGTTATTGCGCATAAGTCGCGCCGATTGGCTCATGCGAACTGGAGACAGACACATTAGTGCATTCAATTTGAGCACGTCCCTTCCACGTTTCGTTCAACGTTAGACTTACGTGCCGTGACTTATCACAAGTTGCACCTTATTTAAATTTTCTCTACACAGAGTTTCTGAAAGAGTCGACGTGTTGGGCCGTCGTGTCACCAGACTGGTCTCGGTGCGTAGACGAATTGCATGTTGCCGTTCGTGACGTTGCAGAACGATCTCAGCAACTTGCTTACTTCAGCAGAAATTCTGAACTTTGTTGGTAAGAAATTCTAAATTTAAATTTACATACAACAGCCTGGACTCAAGCTACTTTACCTATAAAATTTGGTGGCATTGGTGTGAGAAATCTTTCTAGCGTTGCATTGCCTGCATTCCTTGCTTCCGTGCACAGTGTCAGTGACTTATGTAACATAATTTTAAATAATAAAGTAGACCTATGCTTTGTTACGGAGGCAGGGCTGACATGGCAAACGCTCTATCCCGGTGAAAATGTTCCACTGGAAGTTAACTAACAAAAACAGTGGGATATTCCGTTGGTACGGGGCGTGCAGAAGGATTTGTTTCATAATTTATAATTATTAATAGTGACCAAGATAAGGCACGCCTTCTAGCTGTTTCGACTAAGGAATCTAGTCACTGGTTACACGCTTTACCATCAAGTAATCTCGGCACATTACTTGATGGGGAAAGCTTGCGCATTGCGAATCCGACTAGGAGCGGCGCTTTGTCAACCCCATCAGTGCCCCTGTGGTAGCAGCGTCGACAAGTTTAGGCTCCACGGACTTTCATGTAAGAAAAGCGCTGGTAGGTTTCCGGGGCGGCATCAGAAGCAGCTGAACTGAGTAAGTGGCGCAAATATGAGTCTTTGAGAGATGACTACATATTTGTGCTATTTGTTGTAGAGACTATCGGTCCGTTGGGTCCACTTGCGGTGAAGTTCCTAAAGGAACTCCATCCGCGGCTGGTCGTTGCTGCTGGTGATAAGATGGCTGGTTCTTTTCTCACTCAAAGGCTAAGTATAGCCATTCAGCGGGGAAACGCAGCCACCGTTCTTGGCACGATACCGCGGGGAGTAGGACTATATGATAATTAAGTTTCTAGTTTTAGTTTTTTTTTTCATTATTATAGTTTTTAAATAAAATATAAGATTTTTAAATAAAACTAATTTTACGGATTTTATCGCGTATATTAACTTATTTTTATATTCCCGACGTTTCGGGTGCTTTCCAGCACCCGTGGTCACGGGGGACTGAGTTGTTTGACGTCCTACTGTCATAGTTAGCCCGGCTACCTTCAGTTTTTTAATATTAATTTTTGGTTCGATTTACGCAGAATGAGCTTACAGTATCTTGAAGTCTAGCAGTGGTATACTTGGGTTTGGATTTGATTTTATTAATTATGGGATCCCAAGCAGATGGCAGCACCCATCCATCTTCTCTATTGAAATTAGGATGTTTTTTAATTTCAATAGCCTCGCGAATCATCCTTGGGAGGAATCGGTGTTCTTTTGCAAGGATTTTTGGTCTATCAAATCTAATGTAATGACGGGGACGATCCTGAACATGTTCACAAACTGCAGACTTCCCGATACGTCGGTGCTTCACGTCAGCTATATGTTCTTTAACGCGGGTTTTAATATACGCGATAAAATCCGTAAAATTAGTTTTATTTAAAAATGTGTAGTGTTCGCGTAAATATAAGAAATCATTAAAATATAAGATATTTGGAATATTTAAAAAAACTTAACCATTATTAATTTCATCATTATCTTTCCGCCCACTAAACATAGACCTCCTCAAAGTAATGCCACGAAAAGTGGTCCTATAATAATTATGTAATAGATTATCCATAAAATTATTTAAAGAAAAATAACATTTCTGTAAAGATTTTATGTTATCTGTTAAAGCGGGTTGTTTTTGTATTCAATTTTCTTTTAAATCTCTAAATGAAAGGAGGAAAAATTGTAGCCATAAATTTATTTCGTAATTTGTTTTTATATATTTTCCTCTCTTGGTGCTGTTTTTTTTGCTTTTTTTTCTTTTAGATCTTACTTTTACTAATTTTTTTATGTTACATAGGAGAATTGTTTGTACAAGACTGACGGCCACCCACTCCTAGCTTAGAACCAAATGGCATCAATGCTAATTTTTTTTTGTAAAATGATGCCCTTGATTTAAGTTCTCCAAAGCTTTCGTCATCATTGAAAAACAGCTAGTCGGTTTACTGCTACTTATGCTGAGTAGTAATATTTTTGACATGAATTGAACGCACAAAATAACTTTTTATATTTGAGTGGTTATTTTACTATATTTGTGTAATGTTGCGTTGCGTGCGTCAATGGTTTGCTGGCACCGTACTTTAAATTGTTGGAATGGGGGGGGGGGGGGGTTTGCATTTCTACTTCGTTTTATCTTTTAAATTTTCTACCCTCATTTATAACATTATCATAAAACCATAGGGATATATTAAATATCCCGCCTATGAAACAATCTAAGGGGGAGGCCTTTAGTCAGCACCTATACTTTTGATAGGGTGTAATGATGATGATGATGTATTATTATAACTACTAAAAGTTAAAATGCCGAACATGATTTCTATGAATTGGTGATATGCGACATGTTTTATATATGTGTATTGTAGAGCTACCTACATTTTTGATTGGCTCGATCGGGAAAATATCACAAAATAACAGCGTAAAAAAGTGTTATAATGATGCTATATTTTATAATATGAGTAATGAGAACCGAAAACACTTCTCGATTATGAATCAAAGTTACTTTGATTCATAATCGAGAAACGAGAATGAACGTGGGTGTCACTAGGCTGCAGCATCCACCTATAATCAGGTGACTGTGTGCTCGTTTCTCTACCCTATTTAAAAAAAAAAACTTACAATTTAGTTAATATCGCAAAATGATTTCTAGTGCCCGCGACGAGTTTATGACGTGTGTGACATACGTCGGTCGTTCGTGCTCAAACAGTGGGGGGACGTTGCTACGGCGCATGGCTTGGGTACTAGCGCAGGACGTGGCGGCGTGCAGCCAGCAGCCACGGGCGTATTGTTCCGCACCTTCACTACCGTTCACAACACCGCTTCTCGCAACAATAACTGGCGTAATACTTTACCCAGCACGACTATAAATAATAGGAATTTATTTAACGAATTCAAGTTTCAGAAACTCTATTAATATTGATGTCACTGGAATAAATTGAAATGTCTGTAATTAATAACAGAATTTTATAAATGAGGCATTGTTTTAGTGTGAAACTTATTAAAAAATATTTTATGTATTTTATTGATGTGGCGAAACAAAATCGCTATATAATAAATTATATGTAACAATGTGCCATTTCATTTTCACCTGTTTCTTACGCTGTCACCATTCAGTTTTATTATTATCGACAGTCTATTAAAATTCTACTACTGGGTTTAACATGTTTGGATTGCTATTACCCCTAACTGGCGTTTACAAATTTGTAGGGCATGAGAGCCAGTATTATTGCAAGATATTATGGATAGTTTCGGGTGGAGTCGAAATATGTGTGGAGTTGAGATGAGAGTATAAGTAGACTGTGCCATTTTTTCGCTTCACCATTTCAACGGTGGTAGAGCCACGCAGCAGTTTTTGCTGTTGCACGTATGGGCCGGCTCGAGCCGGGTTGGTACCACGACCTCACAGAATACCGGCGTGACGTAAAAGCTCTGCTTCTGCGTTTCGTCTGGTGAGTGCAGGTGGTCGGTGGCCCAATTCCCTCCCCCCCCCCATCAACACGGGAGCGGAATTACACGTGAGACTACCCCGGGAGGGTACCAGCACCCCTGGAGAATCCCTCGCTGAGCATTCCACTCCTGAGCGTGGGTGCTCAGGCTGCCCCGCGTATTCTGGGGAGGGCAAAATTCCGCTCAAAAACATAACTGCTCGGGGCAAACTGAGCAACAATAACAAGGCGACTCCTGACACGCTATCCGTGAATTTCTTCTGCAACATCAGGGGACTTCACTCGTACCTAAACGCCGTCCACTACCATCTCGAGACGGCGAAGCCGGCCTTGCTCTTTCTGACCGAGACGCAGGTTTCCTCTCCGGCTGATAATTCGTATCTCTCCTGCCCGGGGTACAAATTGGAGCACTCCTTTGTGCCTCGGGCTGGAGTTTGCAGTCTTGAAGGTTCGGACCTGTCCATCCTTTGGCTACGCGTAGACAGCGACGACCATTCGCGCATCTACGGGTGCATCTATAGGTCCCGTAGCGGTAATGCCGAAACAGACCGACTCATCGACCACGTCCAAATGGCTACAGATTCCTTGCTACAACAGGTCCCATCCGCAGAGATCGTGATTCTTGGCGATTTTAACGCCAACCACGCCGAATAGCTCGGTTCACGTTTAACCGATCATGCGGGGAGATCTTTTAATGACTTTGCTTTGGCATATGGTCTGATACAACTGGTTACTTCGCCTACGCGCATTCCAGATGTGGAGAATCATACCCCTTCCCTGTTGGACCTTCTGTTGACTTCTCATTCGGACGGATATCAGGTTTCCGTCGATGTCCCTTTCGGCTCTTCGGAACATTGTATGATCCGGAGTGTGATGCCACTCACGCTTCCCTCACGGTTGCGTTCTGCAGGTTGCCATCGTGTTTGGCATTACAGGTCGGCGGATCGGGACGGAATGCGGACTTTCTTTGCTTTTTACTGGGAATGAGGCATTCTATCTTAGTCCTCACGGGTGACAACGCATCTACATTTTGATTTGTAATAGAGGATAGATGTAGATGTCTATGGGCCGCAGCAACCACTTACCATCAGGTGATTGCATTACGCAGTAAGCAGAAGTGTTATCAAGCCTGGGCTGCGGCTTCGGCGACTCGGGATGTAAACACCAGCACACTTAAAAATAAGTATAACTTCGCCTCCAGGTCCTTCAAAAGAGTTATTGCAAAGTCAGAGCACATAGGCAGAATTGGCGAGAAACTAGTTCGCCTTCCTTCGGGAACCCGTGCATTCTGGTCTCTCGCCAATGCTGTCCAAGGTAATTTCTGTAAGCCATCACTACCATCTCTGCACAGGGAGTACGACTCACTGGCCCAAGACGCAAAAGACAAAGCCGACCTTTTAGGCTCCCTTTATGCGTCCAACTCGACTCTTGATGACGGGGGGAAAACACCGTCGACCATCCCGCGGTGTGAGTGCTCCATGCCGGATTTGCTGTTCTCACAGCGCTCGGTTCCCAAAGCACTCCTCTCCCTGGACATCCAGAAGTCGAGTGGGCCTGACGGAATCCCCCCAATTGTGCTGAGAACGTGTGCTCCGGAGTTGGCACCGGTCCTAACGCGTCTTTTCCGGTACTCCTACTCCCAAGGCGTAGTCCCGAATTCATGGAAGACAGCTTTTGTCCACCCGATCCCTAAAAAGGTGACCGCTCAGACCGGTCCAACTATAGGCCTATCGCGATCACCTCCTTGTTCTCCAAAATAATGGAATCCATTATTAACTGCCAGCTCATGCGGTACCTTGAGGATCACTAGCTGATTAGTGACCGCCAATACGGTTTTCATCGGGGTTGATCAGCTGGTAATCTTCTGGTCTACCTGACCCATAGATAGGCGGAGGCAGTAGAGTCCAAGGGGGAGGCGTTAGCCGTTAGTTTGGACATTGCGAAGGCCTTCGATGGGGTTTGGCACAAAGCGATTCTTTCGAAGCTCCCTTCCTATGGGCTTCCCGAGAAATTGTGCAATTGGATCACCAGCTTCCTTGCAGATCGGAGCATCAAGGTCGTTGTAGATGGTGCATGCTCCGACTACAAGCCTATTAACGCTGGTGTTCCACAAGGCTGTGTGCTATCACCAACGCTGTTTCTTCTGCATATCAATGATATGTTGCTAACTGGTAACATTCATTGCTATGCGGATGACAGCACTGGTGATGCTCTATACACCGGCCGTGCCAATATTTCTCAGGAAAACGTCGCCTAGTATCGGAACAAACTTGTGTCTGAAGTCGAGTCTTTGCTGAACAAAGTCTCGGATTGGGGGCGATTAAATCTAGTCCAGTTTAATCCTCAGAAGATACAAGTTTACGCGTTTACCGCTAAAAAGAACCCCTTTGTCGTATCTCCTCAGTATCAAGGCACTCCCCTTCTTGCTTCAGCCAGTATCGGAATCCTCGGAGTCGATATATCGAGTGACGTGCAGTTTCGTGGTCACTTGGAAGAGAAGGCCAAATTGGCCTCTAAAAAGCTTGGCGTGCTCAGCAGAGCGGGACAGTATTTCATGCCGGCTCACCGCCTGCTACTTTACAAGGCGCAGGTTCGGCCTCACATGGAATACTGTTTCCATCTCTGGGCAGGGGCTCCCCAGTGCTAACTCCATCCACTTGACCGCATCCAGCACAGAGCGGCTCGAATCGTCGACGACCGAGTCCTTTCCGATCGGCTCGATTCATTGACACTGCGAAGAGATGTTGCATCCCTTTGCATTTTCTTTTGCATCTACCACGGGGAGTGCTCTGAGGAATTGTTCGGATTAGTCCTATCCGCCAAATTTCACGAACGCACATCGCGGCATAACTCCCGATACCATCCACACCATAGGGATGATTGGTGGTCCACCACTGTGCGATTTAGAAGATGTTTTCTTCAGAAACAGAAACAGAAACAGAAACTTTTTTATTCAATATAGATTATAAATAATACTTATTGAAAGTCACTCTTTTGTATGATTACCACTGGTTCGAAAAAAAACCTCTGTCCTGGGAAGAACCAGCAAGAAACCCTGCGGGACTTTTTTTTAAATAACAGCTTACACTCATGTATGTTACACAAATTAACAACACAATAAATTAGAAATAGCTTGGTAGCGATAACCTCATTTCCAGGGGTTATTATCATCTATTAATTCATTAATATTATAATAACCCTTTTTATACAAACTTAGTTTAATAAAGTTTTTGAACTTTGAGCAGCTCAAATTTTGTATATTTTCTGGAATTTTGTTGTAAAAGCGTATACATCGCCCCAAGAATGAATTACTGACTCGATGGAGTCGAGTAACTGGTACTACTAGCTTGTGTCTTTTCCTAGTATTTACAGAATGAATATCACTTATTTTTGTAAAACTACTTTTATTTTTGTGTACGTACATTACATTTTCATAAATGTATTGAGAGGCCAAAGTTAATATATTAATTTCCTTAAATTTTTGTCGCAGCGACTCTTTAGGCTTTAAATCATAAATTGCTCTTATAGCCCTCTTCTGTAAAACAAATATAATTTCAGTGTCAGCTGCGTGTCCCCATAGCAAAATACCATACGACATTATGCTATGGAAATAGCTAAAATTAAACTAGTCTAGCTGTTTCAACACTAGTTAGACTTCTAATCTTTTTTACGGCATATGCTGCAGAACTAAGTCTGCTTGCTAGTTTTGATATATGGGGGCTCCATTGAAGCTTCGCTTCTAGTGTGATTCCAAGAAAAATGGTGGTATCTACAAGACTCAGTTTCTCCCCATTTAAAATTACATTAGTATTTAATTGTTTGACATTTGGAGTCATAAATTTCATACATTTCGTTTTAGTGCCATTTAAATGCAAATTATTAACATTGAACCAATTTACTAATTTAGATATAGCATTATTTACTTCGTCATATTTTAGCAATTATCGACTTAATTTGAAAATTAAAGAAGTGTTATCTGCAAATAATACTATATCATGGTTATCTCAGGTGAGCCGCATGCTCGGTTGCCCCCTCTCTTTTAATAAAAAATACTATGTATTTAATTTACTTATTTCTTGAAGGGAAAATTTATTTCGATAGCTTTACTTTACTAAACCATTAAACTGAGTACTGCGCTAAGAGGATTATATAAAGAAAGTAGGGATAATTTAACAACTATTAATTGTCTATTTACAATAGTTAAGCGGCAGTAGAAATAATTACTTATCCTAACACTAATAGGGAAACACTAAAGGGAGATTTCTTGGTTTTCTTTTCTTCAGAGTCTTCTTCTACTGCCGCTTGGAAATCGAAAGACTCCCAGCGGCCCTATGCCCTTCTGTTATTTGCGCGGTGGGGTATGCATTGTCGTTGTGTCCCCACGCGGCTTCGCTGTGGAACACCAGCGTTAATAGGCTTGT